GCTACGTGTATATTTACTTAATCGGGTTTCGGCAATTTATTCTTATCATATCAACGGTAGATGCACAACCAACGAAAGTCAATGGTAAACACATTAAAGTTTTTTAAGTTGCTTTATCACAAAAATAAGCAGTTCGTTTTCAAATATTCTGACAGTTTTCTCAGACAGTTCATTCGTGACCCTAAGGTACCATCACACTTGGACGATAATTCGTACAATGCACCTTTGGCACCCGACAAGTTGATCTTCGCGTTTATGGGAACAAATATTTTCGGACCGAATAGAAGCACCGCAAATGCGGCTGCTGTTTGGATGGCATCTTCACAGCCATTTTCATATTTATTTCGATATCGTACAGCTGCACAGTTTGCTGACGGCAGTCTGACAAGCAGGTTTGCTTTAGGATCAAATCCGTCATCACGAAAAAAGACATTTGTGAGGTCTAAGAAATGGCATACTAAATACAAAAATGGCAAAACTTTTATTGTGGTCATCCCGCGAGATTTACACAAATGCGAAAATGGAACGAATCACGAAGAAACAAATCACGGTAGTGAAAAAAATAGTCAACAAGAAACAAGTTTTTGAATTTTCTATTGTCGGTTTGTCGATGCGAAAGAATTCCAGCAGTAACTTTGTTGGGTCTCGAAATCACCATAAAACTATTTTTCAGAAAAGGTTTGGAACAGACTCGAAAATCGCCAAATTTTTGCATCAAGCACCAATTGAGCTACCATTCAGTTCAAGGTCAAGAACTCGATGACTCCAAAAGCTTGCAGAAAATCATTGTAATCGAAAAGCAAAGGCTCTTCGTTTGAAAAAAGACGCTCTTTCTCGGAACTTTTTCCAAAAACCTGCATGGTCATGGCTGCCAAGCAGCCGGAATACGTGATAAAAAATTCACTCTAAAACAGCAAAAAAAAAACATTTGCATAAAAACACTTACATTCTAAAAAGTAAGAAGCGGTCAGAGGAAGGGTACAGATTAATCTGCGAACGGGTTATGAAACGCTGATAGATGTGAGCAGATCGAGTATTGTCGAGCCGCAAAAAATACGTACAGTGACTTAGGCAACATCTAAGTTTAGTGTTTTAGCTACCTGTTGCGCTTACAAGTTCATACTTCAATCAACAATAATTTCATGTTCACGTGGGATGTAGTCTAAACTCTGACAAAGCTAGTTCAACGACACAGTGAAGACGTAACAAGGTGCAAATCAGAAGAACGGTACGAAGAACCTTGCGGCAGAACCTGTGAAATAATTTGGCAGAAATATGATGCCTTAGCAACTGCACATTTTCAAATCTTTCTCGAAACGGCTACACATCCACTGCGAGCCACTGATTAATAGCGAGCCATCCAGCACTAATCTATGGAAGAATCTGGCTGATAACATCAAATAAGAGTGGCCAGCTGTTTCCGGCGCCATTTGTATGAAAATACGGTCAGAAAGAAATGGCGAACAGTGGAAGTTGATCAAACCGTTGTACGTACAGGCGGTTAATTCCAAGTAATATATGCATCGGAGTTACTACTCTGCGCCCAGTGGCGCAAATAACCAGGAAGAAATCAGCCGTTCCTGGAAACTCATTGGCCATTTGCAGAAAACCACCAGTGCAAAACGGGTTGTCTTCGTGTAAAGCTCAGTGTTGAAAAAGAAGAGTATTTGCATGTCATTTAATATATCGACATTAAGCTTGAGCAATGAAATTACAGCTAAGGATCACACATCCACAAAAGTATTTCTGTCATAAGTCCTTCATCATGACGACACCAGCTTTAGTGGTTACAGGCATCCAACTTAGTAAAAACGTACTCTTGATACAAGCATTATCGGAGTCACAATGAGCAGAGGGAAAGAGAAAACGATAATGCATGTCGCGGACAGTTTAACATGATACAATATTTTAAACTGTACAACATGGATTTGTTACATTCGAAGCGGCTGTAATTAGTAATTTTACATCAGAATAGGAGCTATGTTTCGAGGTGGTATACAAAAAGTCATTTACTTTCGCAGTTTTAAACAGTGCAGCAGTACGCTGACAGTTTACGATCAAATCTGTTACCTGGAAAGCAGTCGACGGAACAGTTCAATCATTCAAATTCGAACAAATGCCGATTCTCGTTGCGACTATTACTGTTCCTCCAAAAGGAATGTCTTACCAGCTTAAAACAAACTTCGAACCACGGTTGAACAAACTCGCTCCGCCTTGTATCAAACTGACATATCATGACCCAGCTTTGCTTTTACGTACATCGTGTATGGTAGATGAGAGTCATGTATTTCTTCAGGTTCTTCAGATTCTTAATCAGATGATCGCTACGTCGATTACTGAAGATCAGGAACGACGGTGATGGCGTTTTTAATCACTCGACCAATGGGCGAATTGCCTTCTCTCGGAGACAAGATTACTCCATTTGGACCGTAGTAGACGAACGGTAGGCGCATCGTCCAGTACTTGGCAGGCGTTAGCTTCACTTCGTGACCGCAGTGGAAAAACAGCGGCGTGGTAAGCTGGGGCTGAATATGTGGGTTCACCACAACGTAAACAGGAGCCTTTGGTGTGACGACGTGAATTCGCATCAGCTGACCAAGCAGAGAAGGTTTCACAGCCCTAAAATTTTTTTTTAGCAATTAACTGATTAGGTCGATTCAATTAGTTAGTCTGTCAACCGGTTCTTAACCAGAAAAAAATAGGAAAGTTCGTCACCGTTAGAATATCGGCCTTCCTTCACTTTCGTGACTGGGCTATTTTGATAATCCGGCGGTGATCTTCATTTTTATACCATAAACCAGGAGTGCCTCATTTGCTCTAAAGGCAAAATCTAAAGCCATAAGGCCAGCATAGCATGTAGTTTTCTGTTTCCTTCCCAGAGTGGTACTCACTGATCAGTCTCGGAAGGAAGAAGGGCGAATGACCCCGATCGTCGCTTGAACTCAGGACCTATCGATTCCGAGTTCGACACTTTACCGACTGAGCAACCACGGTCTGAAGCAATGTGCAGTAAATTCATTGCTCAAGAAAATTCATGAATTAAAACGTGATTGCCCTCCAGCGAAATCAAACCTGGTATCTCCAGATTTCAAAGCAGAGCTCTTAGATGCTGTATGACCACGCTTGTAATCAGAACAAACTGTCACGCTCACGTCACCGCTCAAAGGAATAGGGACCTAAGATACAACTCCGTTCAATGCTTTTTACCGCATTTCTTAAGTCCTAATTTTCTCTTCGCTCCACTATGACCACACCGCGTATTTTTGGATATGTCGATTCATCATGACACGTCACATCTGTGCTGAAAGCGTAAACTGTGTGAAAAAATATATCACAGAACCATCCTATCATCTCCAGGGGATGCCAATCTTCCTAACACCATTCTGTCCTTATGATGTCCAATCATTTTCTAAATGTCGGTAATTAAAAAAAAGACGTTTCAATGACATAAAAAATCAGTATACTGCCACCTGTAAGTTCATCAGTGACAAGTTCAAATACTATTAAAGAAATCCCGGACTGACACACTCCTACGCATTTGTCGCGAGCTAATGACACAGCAGAAATAAAAGGATTCATAACATTTTTACCACCATCGTCTAATTACGTTCAGAAATAATATTCCACGTTCAGAAAACATCGTCAACGGGGTTGTTCGAAGTGACAGAGTATGTGGCATATGCTTCTCTCAGGCTTCAACTGCCTACGTATTTTTTCCTGCTTTTACTATCAAAACCTAAGTCTTGGTATGCAACTTCTTGCTATAGTCCGACTGCAGTTCAGCACGATGGTTTGCTTCAAGACAGTCCAGGTATCAGACTGTTCGTACACAAAACAATACACTTCCTCTGCTGTGATCAACTCGCAGGTATCCTGCTACTGCGATCTGTGATGGATTCTCTTACATTTTTTCTTCTTGTTATTGACTTTAGCCCTCACTTCCACTGCCATGTTGAATACGTTTTCAATTAGCTTCCACCGCCTATCTGCGGAGTCGTACAACAGCATCATGCTACCTGTATGCTCAAAGTATGATAGAAACGCTGCTCTATGTCTGTAGATGTCAGGTTGACTGATGGGATAATCCATCAGCTTCAACTACTTAATGTGACAAACAGTGATGGCGAACAGTCGAGAAGAGAGTAACTCGACTCGCTGAATTTCACGTCAAGGTTAAACCAGTTACATAGTGGTGTTTCGGTTCTGAAAATACATCTTTACCTTCGTTATAAACCTCCCAACGGCTTTATCATCACCCATGCATTTCATAA